AGGTGCCGTAGAAGACCAGGACATCAATGATGAACATCCACTCGCACAGGGCAGCCACGTGCTGCAGCACGAAGCTCTCCTGGATGAAGAACACACCGCCTGAGGGCATCCCCGTCAAGGAAAGCTCAGCTGGACCCCAACCGCACCATGAGGGACCCTGTTCCGCTGCAACTGCATCCGGGGGTGGCCAGGAGCAGCCCCCCTCTGCAGGAAACACACCACCTAAGAGCAAGAAACCCCACACGCTTCCCCCAGCACTGGTAGGGCCCTGGCCTGGGTGAGGCAATGGCACACGTGTCCAAACCAGCCTTGGTAAATCACGGGACTGATGCCAGGTGGGGATTTTCTGAAGAGGCCGGGGCAGGGGGAACTCAGGCTGCAGCCCTCTGGGCAAGCCAGGTGCCCAGATGCCTCACCCTCCCCACACCCCTCACCTCTTCCTCAAACCAAGCTGATGCTCCCCATCCTCCCATGGGATGCAAAGCTAAAAAAACTCATCAGCCCTCCATCCCCTCCGTTAAGGGGGTTTGGGCTGCTGCAGCCCAGCCCTTCAGCATCCCCTGTCTGTGCTGCTGGCTGGCTCTCCCCAGCGAAGGGGCCTGCTCCCTCTCCTCCAGGTCTTACCGCTGCCAGAGCTTCTCTCATCCCCGCTGCAGGAATAAGAACTCTAGGGAAACCTAGGAGCCACCATGGGTGAGGGGAGAAGGCAGGTACATCCCCCAGCCCTCCGGGTGAAGCTTCTGGCAGTACCCTGCCTTCTGCCAGCGAGCCAAGATCCGGGAGAGCCAGAGAGGCCAGGACCTGACCTGCGCAGGGTGAAGCCTTCTGCTCACTCTCCCCATCCCACTAGGAGAGGTCCCAGCCCTTTCCCCACACTGTCCTCACCACAGCTCGCTGCGTTCCCACATCCAGGCCCCAGCGCTTCCAGAGCAGCACGGCATGGCAGACAGGCACCAGCTCTGTCTCCCTTGTCCTTACATGCCCTGCCTGTCCCTCCCAGTTGGCACAGCCCCGTGCCACTTCTGCCCTTCCCAGCTCCCTGACTGCTGCCCAGCCCGCCTGCCTGCTGTGGTGACAGAATGGGACCCTCTGGCACGCCCCAGGCCTGCCAGCACCTTCCTCCTGAGCTGTTTGCCCCAGCCAGATCCCAGCCAGCCTCTCTGGGACCCGTGGACACCATGTGCTTTTTCCTCTTCCTGCCCAATAACAAACACCTTCTTTCCCAATTTATCCTTAACCTCAGCAACAAATAAGCCCCTGGCTCCCTGGCCACACACTCAGGACCATTCTTCCAGCCTCCTCATTGCACCCTTCATGTCTCACGGGCAGGCGGGTGAGCCCCGGCTGGCAGAGGTGCTGCCACGCGCTGCCTGGCATCTGCACAAAGCACTTTTGTACTTGACTTCAGTCATATAGGTAATTCAGATGGACTTTGCATTGCCGAGGGCTCAACATACCTTTGCCTCATTAAAACACCCAGTTAACCAGCCCTTCTACTCTGCAAGGTGTGGGGCTGGAGCCTGCAGGGGTGGCTGGGCTGCAGCAGCTAGGGCAGGGCTGGTTTGGGGCATCCCAGCTTCTCAAGAGCTGCCCACCAGGGTCGCCCACTGCTGCTCATCCAGCCCACTCCTGCAGGGAGCTGCCCACCCTCAGCCCCCTGCCCAGCCCCTCTCCTGGCCCCATGCCATTCTGCCAGACCAAAGGATGGAGGACGTGGGGCACGTACCTACCCCGCCGAGGACCACCTTCTGCCAGCCCATCCCGGCTCTGCTCCCCACACCCTTCCGAAGGATACTGAAGACGAGGGTGACAAAGGCCACAGCAGTGAGGATGCTACGTAAGTGGCCGGTCCAGTACTGCCCGCGGGTTTTGGCCATGCGGTAGGTGAGGATGGACTGCAGGAGCAGGAACAGCATGCTGGTGGGGAAGGCCACCCCCGCCCCAATGTAGTGCAGCACCTTCGCGTGATCCACCTGCAAGGGAGAGACCGTCGGCTTCCTTCATACGTGGGATGGTAGCTCCCAAGCATGGGGCTGCCCTCTGCCCGTGGGCATCACTGGGGCTACCGCACCCCCCCGGGTGAGCTGCTGAGCCATGGCTGGGGAGCAGGGAGGACCGGTGCCAGCAAACCTTTTCCCGGGAGGAGCAGCACGGGCAGCAGCCTTCTGCCAAGCGGAAGGGACCGG